AGGAGGTGGAGGAGGAGAATGATCGAAAGGAGGAGGTGGAGACGGGTGCATGAGAGGAGAAGGAGGAAGATGATGATAATGATTACGAGGAGGAATGATCATGAATGCTGAGGTAGAGGAGCAGGAGGATGAGACAGGAATGAGGAGGGAGGGATGAATTAAAGGGGAATATTGAGGAGAGACAAGGAGAAGGAAATTTCGCTTAGGAGGAAGACGACAGAGAGAGAGCTGAGGAGGAGAGAGATGCTGATCAGGAGGAGGAGGGGGCAGTTGCATCGTTGGTGTGCGGCGTAGCGTTGAGTGGCTGCGTTAGCCACTTAACCGCTCAACTGCTGGGCGGGCGTGCAGGGGTGGGGGTATCGGCTTGGGAGGGGGTGGGGGGCGTGCAGGAGGGTGGGGGGGGGCTCTGTGAAACGGAGCAGGAGGAGAAAGCGCTGAGTCGGGTGGTGCTCTCCCTCCTCCCGCGTTGTTCTGCCCACTCAGCGCCGATCCAGGAAACTCTGCACTATTGTTCCCCGCCCATTCCTAAAATTACGCTTTTATTTTATTTGTCGTTGAAAGCGACTCCGTTTTCCTACGCGATTTCCTATTTGACAAAAAAATAATTACAAAATCAGCATAAGGTAAAAGGCGCAGGCCTGCAATGTCTCGCTCCCGCCACTGCCGCCGAAGGAAGGGCTTCCACTCGGGGCTGCCTCTCGAGAGCCCCTGGTGGGGTGGTCGTCAGCCAACTCACCCCACGCGTGGCGGAAGAGTTGGGTGTTACCCACACTTTACCCCACCACACGTGAACACGACCTGGTGATCGGTTCACTGTGGTGTACCCACGTGTACTTTCACGCTGGACTGACATCTTTGTCCGAGGTGGCAGTGCCCACACTTTCTCCCACCAAGCACGATCTGACCCCTGTGATTTTGGTTTCCAAATGATATTGTTGGGGGGACAGAGGTGGGGGGTGGAGGGACTTAGGAAACTTGCCCCATCGTTTCAACTGTCGCGCCGGGAGATTAAATCGAACCGGCGACCTCTGGATTACAAGTCCAGGGTGCTAACCGAATTCACGGAGGTGAAATTAAAGAGAGAGCAAGTAGAGAGAAGAAAGAGAGAATAAAAAGCCGAGACTCTGTAGAAACCCGCAGTGAATTAACCGCACGGTACTGACAATGCGCCGCGTGGCCCCCAGGTGCCGGCGTTAATGTGATTGAAATGCTGACAGATTTCTTTTTTTTATTGTTAATTAGTTAATGTGCTTGCCTGCAGTTTTTAAACTTAGATTTTCAGCCGAAACCCACTTCAAGCCATGCCGACGGGTTCTCAGTGCCCACCCAACCGCGGTGCCCTGGGTCACCCTGCGTCTCCCACCGCCATTCTTACACTACCCCCGCCTCCGCTACCCCCCCTACCACGCACCCCCAACGCTGGCTGGGTCAGGACGAGGAGCCTGAGCGGCAAAGCGAGGAGGGTGGCGGCGGTGACTGCGTGAATGAAGGTCGCGGCGATCCGAGTGGGGGATTTGGCTTAACACCGCCGAAGCTGAGGCGGGGTGTCTCATTCATTCATTCAAAGATCGACTCATTCATTTCATTCACTTAGCTGTTCATTCTCTTCCTCATTTTCAGTGTTTATGCATTCATGTGGCTGCCGACTCCATTGGTTCCCCCCCCCCCCGTTCATTCATGGAATGCCCCGTTCATTAATTAATGTATTGACTTGTTAATTCACTGATTCTTTCAGTTACTTATTTGAGTATTCATGCATTCAAGTATTCACCTGTTGGGTGGGGTGCTCAGTTCTTTGAAATTTCATTCACTCTCTTCATTTCACCATTAATTTCTCTCATTGAGTTATTCACACAATTATGTATTTTGGCTGTTCAGTGGGTTGTAAGTATGTATGTTTAATGCGCTCCGTACATAGCCAACCGTGCCAATCGGAGGTGCGGGGGAAGGACAGCAGACTCAACACAAAAAGCCGTTTTGAAGTAATGAGTTTTCAATCTACATTTAAAAGTGCAGAGCTCCAGTGGCTTCCTAATATCGGAAGGAAGAGTGTTCCAAACGACCGCAGAGGCACATCTGAAAGCGCACGATGCAGTGACAAGCTTTGTTCAATGACTAGCCAAAAGCCACTGTGAGGATCGCCGGCGTTTGTGTGATGGTTTATATTCCTTGACGAGATCAGTAAGGTGTTGTGGTTCATTTGTGGCAAACACTTTGCGTGCAATGATTGTGAAGCCAATGCAGCTCAGCGAGCACTGGACAGACGTGGTCGGATCTTGCAGTACCCGTCACGAAACGTGCCAAGCAATTTTGTACATGCTGCAGCTTGGTAATGTTTTTGGCAGATGTCCCGTAGAGTAGTGATTTGCAATAATCGAGCTTTGTTGATACTACGCTATCCCATTCACTCATTCAATCAACTTCTCATTCATTCCCTCACACATTAAGTAAGTAATTCACCATGTCCATTTTAGTGGATGAGAACTCATTGAGACAAACTTTGGCTCTCCAGTCGGCAGGTGGGTGAGGACTTGAACCGCCCTCCCCCACCTCCCTTCCCTTTCACTCTCTGGTCCTGTCTCCCACCACCACCACCACCAATTTACCCGCACGATCGCACCCCCACTTAGAGGCCCTCGCCATGCTGTGCCTCACGCATAGCGTTGCCACCTCTAGCATAGCAAAAAAACCCAAACGTATATAAATTAACGCGAGTGAAAAATATCTCACAATACCAGAAGAGCAGACGACTATGTGCAAATGCAATGCCTGAAATAGTTTTATTATTACGCAACATATATATACAAAAAAATGGTATCAATGTCCCCGGGAATACTAAAGAGTATTTCCCAGGACAGCTTCTGCAAAGAGAGGGCGGTCCTGGGAAATCCAGGACAGGTGGCAACCCTACCGCGGTGGGGGGGGGGGGGGGGGGCGGGGGCTCCTTTAAGCCTCCCGCTCCTGCGGGACCCATCCGCAGCAAGCTGCTACATCGCCTCTGAGCGTCCTCTGCAGACCTACTTCACCTGGCACGTGGCAAGGCCAGCGCCGGGCAGATGGACACGCAGAGGCGTGCGTGCGTGGGTAGATGGGTGGGTGGGTGGGTGAGTGAGCGGGTGGTTGGGTTGGGTGGGAGGGTGGATAGGCGGGTAGGTAGTAGGTGGACCTTCCGCAAGCCAGATTACGGTTGAATGCACGCGTTTAGCATGAAGGATCTTAGCAGGCATGTAATGGTGAATCGAATCGTGGGTTATATTCGGGTGCTCAGGTGGTTTGTTGGGTGACCGAGTAGATGCGTGGGTAGGTTTGTAGGTTAGAAGGTGGTTAGGTGTGTGTGTCGGAGGGTGGGTGAGTGGGTGGGTTAATGGGTGGGAGGGTAGATGGGTTGCGTGGGAGGGTGGGTAGATGGCTACATGAGTGGGTGCATTGGTTGGTTGGTTTAATGTTTGGGAATTATGTTAAAACATCATCTTTAACTATACACATCAAATCGTGGGTCATGATTGGGTGAGGGGGGAGTAGGTGTGTGGGTGTGTTGGTAGGTTAGAGGGTGGTTAAGTGCGTGAGTCAGAAGGTAGGTTTGAGGTTTCGGTGGGTGGATGAGTGGGTTTCTGTGGGTGGGTGGGTTGGTAGGTTAGAGGGTGGGTAGGTGTGTTGGAAAGTGACCAGGTGGCTCAGGTGTCAGAGCACTGAGCCACCACCACTAAGATCCTGGGTTCGAATCTGGAATTCAGTCGCCTGTGATTAAACCGGGTTAAGTCTGTATGTATGTATGTTGAACATATTTTTCAACTTACTTAACCAACCATGCTAACAAGTTGATGTTCTTAGCCTGGTCACCGATAACTGCACAATAAGAAACCCCTGCCATTACATTTATCTCTGCACTTATGTTTCCTCTTTTCAGCTCTTGAGGATTACAAAACCAAGTAGTTTGATTGGCATGAAGTGACAAACACCGTTTGCAAGGACATACATGAAACAAAGAGGTTTACTGACAGTGACCTCCGAAGAAATTCTCTGACAATCTTACAGGCACCGTTCTCTGACACAGGGTGATGCACTGCTAGCTGCGAAGGGTTCGCGAACCGAAATGTCCTCGTCTCTCTGTAACATGACGTAGCGATGGCACAATTGGGATATAAGTGGGGTGGGGGGAGGGGGTAAAAAACTCATCCCTTCGTTTCCTCCCTGGCGAGGCCTCTCCCCTCCCTGCAATAAACAAGACTCCCCGCCCACACGCACGTACAGGAATTTCATTAAGCGCATTCGTCGGCTGGAACTTTTATTATTGGAGATAGAAATAACAGAGCGGATTTGAGGAACGGAACATGACGTGACGCAAGTGGGTTCCTGCCCTGACCTCCGGGGTGAGAGTACACCCTGAACCGTGATTATCTCCGTCAGCCGCGTTCAGTCCACTGCTGCATGAAGTCCTCCCCAAGCCGCCCGCCCAGCCCATCCCGCTAGGGTCCTCTGACGCAAACATTCCATTTGGTACCTCCGCGCACGAGTCGATCGCGTCGCTCCGTCCTTTGGCTGGCACTCCCGTCGTCACTCTCGACAGCGGTCCGTCACCGATCGCCGCCGTGATGTGTCCTGCCCAAGCTCACTTGACTTGTCCTCGTAGTCCCTATCATGTCTGGAATATGCGCGTGTTCTCTGACTCGTCGTGGTGCCCGGCGTTTCACTCCCGTGTGCCAGCACGTGAGAGAGAGCGGAGAGAGCTGTACAGGCTCAATCCCAGCTTAGTCTGATCTGACAACAGTTCCGTTTCCAAAGAAGCTCCCAGCACTTGGAGCGAAACTTTGGACATCGTGCCGAACGACATGCGGTGGCATCACACGGTAACCCCGGGCGAGTGGTAAAGAGTTGAACCCCGGGGTGCACAGGTCAACACAGTCATGAGAAGACTGCAGGGTGACTTGGGGAGCAGCTAACAAGTCTCCCCCCCTCTCCCACCCCCTTCCCCTCCCCTCTCTCCCCTCTCCATCTAGAAGATGGAATGGCAGTGGGGATGCTGGCCGGCGCGGCGGGGGATAAACAGCACAGCCTTGCCAGCCTCGCTCAACTCCACGCAGACTTCCCAGCCGCTGCCTTCCTCTTCCCAGATGGGCTGTCCTCCACCGAGACCCTGCTCACCAACATCCAGGTACGGACATTTGTGCCGCCCGCCCGCCTGCCTGCAAAGTCCGCCCTGGGTTTTCCAGTCGCGGGTGATAGTAGGCGAAATTCGCCGATAGTGATTTCTCGCAGAGAGACCCGCAGACTCATATAGAGACCCACTGACTCAAAGAGAGCCATTGACTTGCATAGACACCCACAGCCTCGCAATCACTCTCACCTCACAACACACTCCTCACAACAGACTCCTCTCATCTCACAACACACTCCTCTCACCTCAACACACTCCTCTCACCTCAACACACTCCTCTCATCTCACAACACACTCCTCTCACCTCAACACACTCATCTCACAGCACACTCCTCTCACCTCACAACACACTCCTCTCATCTCACAACACACTCCTCTCATCTCACAACACACTCCTCTCATCTCACAACACACTCCTCTCATCTCACAACACACTCCTCTCATCTCACAACACACTCCTCTCATCTCACAACACACTCCTCTCACCTCAACACACTCCTCTCATCTCAACACACTCCTCTCATCTCACAACACACTCCTCTCACCTCACAACACACTCCTCATCTCACAACATACTCCTCTCATCTCACAACACACTCCTCTCACCTCACAACACACTCCTCTCACCTCACAACACACTCCTCTCGCCTCACAACACACTCCTCTCATCTCACAACACACTCCTCTCACCTCACAACACACTCCACTCACCTCACAACACACTCCACTCATCTCACAACACACTCCTCACAACACACACCTCATCTCACAACACACTTCTCACAACACACACCTCATCTCAAAACACACTCCTCTCACCTCACAACACACTCCTCATCTCACAACACACTCCTCTCATCTCACAACACACTCCTCTCACCTCACAACACACTCCTCTCACCTCACAACACACTCCTCTCATCTCACAACACAGTCCACTCATCTCACAACACACTCCTCTCGCCTCACAACACACTCCTCTCACCTCACAACACACTCCACTCATCTCACAACACACTCCTCTGATCTCACAACACACTCCTCTCATCTCACAACACAGTCCACTCATCTCACAACACACTCCTCTCACCTCACAACACACTCCTCTCATTTCACAACACACTCCTCACAACACACAACACACTCCTCTCATTTCACAACACACTCCTCTCATCTCACAACACACTCCTCTCATCTCACAACACACTCCTCTCAGCTCACAACACACTCCTCACCTCACAAGACACTCCTCTCATCTCACAACACACTCCTCACCTCAGAACACACACCTCTCATCTCACAACACACTCCACTCATCTCACAACACACTCCTCTCATCTCACAACACACTCCACTCACCTCACAACACACTCCTCTCACCTCACAACACACTCATCTCACCTCACAACACACACTTCATCTCACAACACACTCCTCACAACACACTCCTCTCACCTCACAACACACTCCTCTCACCTCACAACACACTCCACACTCCTCACAACACAGTCCTCTCACCTCACAACACACTCCTCTCATCTCACAACACACTCTCACCTCACAACACACTCCACTCACCTCACAACACACTCCTCTCACCTCACAACACACACCTCTCTCACAACTCATTCCTCACAACACACTCCTCTGATCTCACAACACACTCCTCTCATCTCACAACACACTCCTCTCATCTCACAACACACTCCTCTCGCCTCACAACACACTCCTTATCTCACAACACACTCCTCTCATCTCACAACACACTCCTCTCACCTCACAACACACTCCTCACAACACACTCCTCACAACACACTCCTCTCATCTCACAACACACTCCTCACAACACACACCTCATCTCACAACACACTCCACTCACCTCACAACACACTCATCTCATCTCACAACACACTCCTCATCTCACAACACACTCCTCACAACACACTCCACTCACCTCACAACACACTCCACTCACCTCACAACACACTCCTCTCACCTCACAACACACTCCTCTCAGCTCACAACACACTCCTCACCTCACAACACACTCCTCATCTTACAACACACTCCTCTCACCTCAACACACTCCTCTCATCTCACAACACACTCCACTCACCTCACAACACACTCCACTCACCTCACAACACACTCCTCTCACCTCACAATACACTCCTCTCACCTCACAACACACTCCTCTCACCTCACAACACACTCCTCTCATCTCACAACACACTCCTCATCTTACAACACACTTCTCATCTTACAACACACTCCTCTCACCTCAACACACTCCACTCACCTCACAACAGACTTCTCTCACCTCAACACACTCCTCTCACCTCACAACACACTCCTCATCTTACAACACACTCCTCTCACCTCAACACACTCCTCTCATCTCACAACACACTCCACTCACCTCACAACACACTCCACTCACCTCACAACACACTCCTCTCACCTCACAACACACTCCTCTCATCTCACAACACACTCCTCTCACCTCAACACACTCCTCTCATCTCACAACACACTCCACTCACCTCACAACACACTCCACTCATCTCACAACACACTCCTCTCACCTCAACACACTCCTCTCATCTCACAACACACTCCTCATCTGACAACACACTCCTCACAGCACACTCCTCTCATTTCACAACACACTCCTCTCATCTCACACCACACTCCTCTCATCTCACAACACACACCTCTTACCTCACAACACACTCCTCTCATCTCACAACACACTCCACTCACCTCACAACACACTCCTCTCATCTCACAACACACTCCACTCACCTCACAACACACTCATCTCATCTCACAACACGCTCCTCTTACCTCACAACACACTCCTCTCATCTCACAACACACTCCTTTTACCTCACAACACACTCCTCTTATCTCAAAACACACTCCACTCACCTCACAACACACTCCACTCACCTCACAACACACTCATCTCACCTCACAACACACACTTCATCTCACAACACACTCCTCACAACACACTCCTCTCACCTCACAACACACTCCTCTCACCTCACAACACACTCCTCTCATCTCACAACACACTCCTCACAACACACAACACACTCCTCTCATTTCACAACACACTCCTCTCATCTCACAACACACACCTCTTACCTCATAACACACTCCTCTCATCTCACAACACACTCCTCACAACACACAACACACTCCTCTCATTTCACAACACACTCCTCTCACCTCACAACACACACCTCACAACACACTCCTCTCACCTCACAACACACTCATCTCACCTCACAACACACTCCTCTCACCTCACAACACACTCCTCTCACCTTACAACACACAACTCACATCACAACACACTCCTCTTACCTCACAACACACACCTCACCTCACAACACACTCCACTCACCTCACAACACACTCCTCTCACCTCACAACACACTCCTCATCTCACAACACACTCCTCTCACCTCACAACACACACCTCATCTCACAACACACTCCTCACAACACACTCCTCTCACCTCACAACACACTCCTCTCACCTCACAACACACTCCTCTTACCTCACAACAGACTCCTCTCATCTCACAACACACACCTCTCACGTCACAACACACTCCTCTCATCTCACAACACACTCATCTCACCTCACAACACGCACCTCATCTCACAACACACTCCTCTTACCTCACAACACACACCTCACCTCACAACACACTCCACTCACCTCACAACACACTCCTCTCACCTCACAACACACTCCTCATCTCACAACACACTCCTCTCACCTCACAACACACTCCTCTCATCTCACAACAGACACCTCATCTCACAACACACTCCTCTCACCTCACAACACACTCCTCTCACCTCACAACACACACCTCTCACCTCACAGCACACTCCTCTCATCTCACAACACACTCATCTCACCTCACAACACGCACCTCATCTCACAACACAGTCCACTCACCTCAACACACTCCACTCACCTCACAACACACTCCACTAACCTCACAACACACTCCTCTCACCTCACAACACACTCCTCTCACCTGAACACACTCCTCTCACCTCACAACACACTCCTCATCTTACAACACACTCCTCTCACCTCAACACACTCCTCTCATCTCACAACACACTCCACTCACCTCACAACACACTCCACTCACCTCACAACACACTCCTCTCATCTCACAACACACTCCATTCACCTCACAACACACTCCACTCATCTCACAACACACTCCTCTCACCTCAACACACTCCTCTCATCTCACAACACACTCCTCATCTCACAACACACTCCTCACAACACACTCCTCTCATTTCACAACACACTCCTCTCATCTCACACCACACTCCTCTCATCTCACAACACACACCTCTTACCTCACAACACACACCTCATCTCACAACACACTCCACTCACTTCACAACACACTCATCTCATCTCACAACACACTCCTCTTACCTCACAACACACTCCACTCACCTCACAACACACTCCTCTCACCTCACAACACACTCATCTCACCTCACAACACACACTTCATCTTACAACACACTCCTCACAACACACTCCTCTCACCTCACAACACACTCCTCTCACCTCACAACACACACCTCACCTCACAACACACTCCTCTCACCTCACAACACACTCATCTCACCTCACAACACACTCCTCTCACCTCACAACACACACCTCACCTCACAACACACTCCACTCACCTCACAACACACACCTCATCTCACAACACACTCCTCACAACACACTCCTCTCACCTCACAACACACTCCTCTCACCTCACAACACACTCCTCTCACCTCACAACACACTCCTCATCTCACAACACACTCCTCTCACCTCACAACACACTCCACTCACCTCACAACACACACCTCATCTCACAACACACTCCTCACAACACACTCCTCTCACCTCACAACACACTCCTCTTACCTCACAACACACTCCTCTCACCTCACAACACACTTCTCTCACCTCACAACACACACCTCACCTCACAACACACTCCTCTTACCTCACAACACACTCCTCTCATCTCACAACACACTCCTCTCACCTCACAACACACACCTCACCTCACAACACACTCCACTCACTTCACAACACACTCCTCTCACCTCACAACACACTCCTCATCTCACAACACACTCCTCTCACCTCACAACACACTCCTCTCACCTCACAACACACTCCTCTCACCTCACAACACACACCTCACCTCACAACACACACCTCACCTCACAACACACTCCTCTCACCTCACAACACACTCATCTCACCTCACAACACACCCCTCTCACCTCACAACACACACCTCACCTCACAACACACTCCACTCACCTCACAACACACACCTCATCTCACAACACACTCCTCACAACACACTCCTCTCACCTCACAACACACTCCTCTCACCTCACAACACACTCCTCTCACCTCACAACACACTCCTCACAACACACAACACACTCCTCTCACCTCACAACACACTCCTCTCACCTCACAACACACTCCTCTCACCTCACAACACACTCCTCATCTCACAACACACTCCTCTCACCTCACAACACACTCCACTCACCTCACAACACACACCTCATCTCACAACACACTCCTCACAACACACTCCTCTCACCTCACAACACACTCCTCTCACCTCACAACACACTCCTCTCACCTCACAACACACACCTCACCTCACAACACACTCCTCTTACCTCACAACACACACCTCACCTCACAACACACTCCCCTCACCTCACAACACACTCCTCTCACCTCACAACACACTCCTCATCTCACAACACACTCCTCTCACCTCACAACACACTCCTCTCACCTCACAAAACACTCCTCTCACCTCACAACACACACCTCACCTCACAACACACTCCTCTCACCTCACAACACACACCTCATCTCACAACACACTCCTCACAACACACTCCTCTCACCTCACAACACACTCCTCTCACCTGACAACACACTCCACTCACCTCACAACACACTCCTCTCACCTCACAACACACTCCTCTCACCTCACAACACACTACACTCACCTTACAACACACTCCTCTCACCTCACAACACACACCTCACCTCACAACACACTCCTCTCATCTCACAACATACACCTCATCTCACAACACACACCTCTCACCTCACAACACACTCCTCTCATCTCACAACACACTCCCCTCACCTCACAACACGCTCCTCATCTCACAACACACTCCTCTCACCTCACAACACACTCATCTCATCTCACAACACACTCCTCTTACCTCACAACACACTCCTCTCACCTCACAACACTCCTCATCTCACAACACACACCTCTCACCTCACAACACACACCTCACAACACACACCTCACAACACGCACCTCATCTCACAACACACTCCTCACACCTCACAACACACACCTCTCATCTCATCACAACTCTCATCCCACCATGCAGAGTCAACTGCAAGTTCATCTCACTGCACGCACGCACGCACCATCACGTGGGAGCCGCTGTGTTTGGCGAGACGTGGAGTCCGTACTGCGCGAGAGTAATGAGCCTCCGTCCGCAACCACTCATTTACACAGTCAATAAATCACGGCCTGCTGTGCCGTGGCACACTGATAGCAAACGCTTTGCAGGGTTTAACAAGAGCATTTATTAATAGTTGAACGGACGGGCAGATGAACGAACGAACCCATGAGCGAGTGGAACGGGCGGTCCTAGACGGACCGTGCCAGCCACGTGGGTCAGATAACCAGAGCCCCTGGCAGTGCCCGGGCGATCCCGTGATGTTAGGTAAACGATTACGCCACCGGTTATCGGTTCGACTGCTCGGCTAATCGGTACATGCTGCCTCCGTGCAGAACTTGGTTGCGAACCCGAGCGATCGGTTGTGCAGCTTAGAACCGTTCTCGAAACCGCGCAACTTAAAATCGCCCGCAACTGCTTTGTCCGTATCTGAGCGAGGAGTTGCACAACAACAAAGATGTGTCTGAGCATAGCTAAAGTGCGCTGGCCACACCCTCTGCACCATGGCCCCATTCCTTTCCTGGTTAGCGCAACAATTTTTGTCTTTAGTGTGTGCCTGCATCTGTGCACGTGTAACATGCGTAACGTGCGCGCGTGACGTGCGCGCGTGACGTGCGTGCGTGCGTGACGCGCGTGTGTGTAACGTACGTACGTCCGCGCGTGACGTGGCGTGACGTGGCGTGACGTGGCGTGACGTGCGTCCCCAGGGCCTGCTGAAGGTGGCGGCCGACTCAGCGCGGGCGCAAGACAAGCAGGCGCAGCTGGAGAAGTCGGAGCTGCGCATGGAGATTCTGCGGGAGCGCGAGGTGCGCGAGGCCCTGGAGAGGGAGCTCGCGACCGAGCAGCGCAACCGCGGTACGCCGCCGCCGTCATTGTCGCACGGCTTGCACACGCGCGCGGCCGCGCAGTTTCAATTCAACGTCAATGTTTATTTGTCGCACGGAAAGTTCCCGTGCAGCCAGTTACGCAGATGGTTTTTAACACTAGCACAACAACAACAACGACGACGACGACGACATCGTCAGAGTGATGCACTCCTCTGCTCTTGATGCGGTTATCTGGCTTGACCATCTGCATGTGAAAAGTTGTTGCTCTGCAACTTACTTCAGCCATACGATAGAAGAAGAAGAAGATGAATATCAGAGGGGTCCGGGCGGAGGAACGGGCAGCATCGGAACAGGGCGCGTCGGAGGTGCAGGCTGAAATAATGCGCCGGGAACAAACTGTAACAATATCAACGATATAAACACAGGCACGTTGCACCGACAACCGGGACGTGGTAAGGAATGGTCGTAGGGGAGATGATGGGAGGTAGAGGCCGAGCGAATGAAACAACAGCCATCGGGGGAAAGCGAAGAGTCGCAGCAGGTGGAGGCTCAGACGAACTGTGCCTCGTGAGCACGGTGGTTGCGATGTCAATGGTGGAGTTGCGTGTTTTTGACGGAAGCCGTCCTCCTTCCCGTATGCCGGGGCGTCTCGGAGCGCTTCAAATCGGGCGTTCCCCCTCGTCGCGACACAATTTGAAAGGGCATCCCGGGTGGCAGCCGTCCCCGTAACACGACACGCAAAAAAAAAAACACGTGTAAAAAGCACACGGCGTTATGCATGTATGTGGAACTTCTTTCGCGCCGTAAATGGCCAACCGTGCTAATCCGAGGTGCGGGGGAAGGACAACCAACTTCACACAACAAGCAGTAAAAATCTGTTTGAAAAGCAGTTATGCCAGGTTTTATGCGTTTTTATGCCTTGTTTCAAACATACGGTGGTTTTCCAGCCCTGCGCTGTCATTCTATTGCTTTGGAGTTTTCTCATCGTACTGCAGATTTGATTATTGTCGGCATCAGCTCAGCTGACATGGGCCCGGTAGCGTGGAAGTGGGGACTCCACATAAAAAGGTTTCCAGAGGCCCACTTTGCAGCAGTGAGCATTGGTAATTGTACTATACTGTGCTGATGAGTCCTAATGAGGACGAAACCGGTCCACATAGTCGGTGATGACTACTTCACTGCCGTCGCCACCACCAATGATTTTGATGCTAACCGCTAGACATGTGGGACCACGATGCAATTCTTCTTCAGGAGCCCGCCTGATGGCGTTGTTTTCTCTACACAATGCACAGTTTGGCTGCATTTCCCTTTTTTATTTTCGTTCTGTGTTTATGTTGTGCACGCGTCTGTCTCGCAAACCGTGCGCGCACGCGCAGAACTCGTGCAGAAGCGTCTGAAGAAGGAGAAGAAGGCCAAGAGGAAGCTGCAGGAGGCGCTGGAGTTTGAGGGCAAGCGGCGGGAGCAGGCCGAGCACGCGCTGACGCAGGCCACCAACCCCGACGGCCTGCGTGGCCTCGGAGGTGAGCGTGCCTCCATGCGCCGAGTCTCTCCGGAGTTTTCGTTTTTCCCTCCTCCTCCTCCTCCTCCTCCTCCGCCTCCTCCTCCTCCTCCTCCTCCTCCTCCTGCTCCCTCCCCGGTGTGACATGATAATGTATGGCTCGACTTGTATGGACAACAGGGTCGCCCGACGTTTGCGCGGCACCACTGTTGTTGATAGGACAAACGGGAAAGGGATGTGATACAACGATGTGAATTGTTTGGCTGCTGCAGTCGCAGCTGCGCTGGCAGGTCAGGTGGCATCCCGAGTCACCAGTGGGAAAGTGAGACGGAGAGGGAGCTGAATTATGGGTAAAATTTAACAAATTATTTTGGCGATGCTGCTGCTGCGTTTGGAGTGGTGCACAAGTACAGTTAACAACACTCAAAACGTTCCGTGTCAATAATAACACTGTGGCCTTGAAATTAAAAAATATATACAAAAAAAGGGTGTTATCGTGACAGATGGCATTGGCTTGCCAAGGGAGGCCTGAATCCAGCAGTGGAAATGCTGCTATTGCTGCTGCTGATGATGACAGTGACCCTAATTTAAAACCGAAATATTCGGGGGAAGAAATATTCATTTATATCTTAACTAAGGTTCTGCCTAGAAGCCTCCGTGTAAATGCCAAGAAAACGAAACACATTTTTTTAAATTGCCCTGCGTGGCCTTAATCGGAAAAAATCTCTAATTGGCAACGTTTTGGGCAATGACCCTTCTTGTTAGCGCTTGAAGAAGAATGGCTATTGCCCAAAAACTCCGCATATTTATTATATACCTTTCCTTTGAAGGCCACAGTGTTATTGACAAATTTGTGTTTGCGTTTTCAATACAAATTTACGTGGTCCTGCATCACCTGATGGACTCTAGGCCAACGGAGCTTAGAGAGGAAGGCGACCGACCGACCTTGAGTGTAGTGCAGGCCCCTTTCCTGAACTGGGCAACCGTTGGGAAAGAAAGCGGAGGAATTCCCATGATACCCGACCATTTACAATCTTCTGCTCGTCCCCGGAGGCCCGCCCGCATGACCGTGTTGTTGCGAGTTAATCTCTCTCTAATAAGGCATTTCACAAAATTTATGAATAAGGCATTAGGAATAAGAGACGTTTAGTGATTTCATCCGTCTGTTATTCTAATGTGTACATATATATATATATGAGGTAACCAGTGGGGTTGCCACTAGAGTGCCAATTTTTTCCACGGACCGAACCCGGACATATGTTTCAGTCTGCCTAGGTATTTCAAAACTTTACAGTAGATTTTAATAAAGTTCATCGCAATGCCACCAGGTCTCGGTACAAATCTATCCTCCTTGCAACTCCAACACAGACGTCGTCGGTTCATAATCAACTACGGCTCAAACCGTAGTTGCCACCTTTGTGTGTACAAAAAACCGGGAGACATGATAGAAAGAAGAATAGCTCACGATAGTGGAAGTGGGGAGAACTATATATCAACGTGTCATTTTGAGCGGTGTATTCATTATTATCATCAGTATGCAGCTGACAAAAAAAACAGGTCTTTTATTGTCCCGGGAAAAATGTAAGGACTTCCCAGGACGCAGCTGGAAAAGGGGACGATCCTCGGGAAAAGGAGGACAGTGACCAGTGGGCAAGTGAGACGGAGCGAGCCGAATTTTCCGGTGAAATTAATTAAATGATCTGGTGACGCTGCTGCCGCATTGGCAGTGATGCCACAAGCACAATTACCAAAAACTCACTCAACACACTCATCAATAACAACACCACCTTGTGGCCTTCAATGTAAAAATGTATTCCGTGATTGAGTGTATGTGACGTGAGGAAGAGCCATTGCCCGGACCGTCGCCTGTTGTATACTTTTTCTTTCAAAACCACGGCGTTATTGACGGCAAAGTGTTGAGGTTTTTTGTTTTGTTTCCCCCTACTGTGAATTGTCAGTGGTGTGGCAGAAGGAAGGGGTGTCTAGGGGGCTCGCTGGGCCGGTGCCTGATAAATATTCTTTTTCTGCCCATGGTTCATTTATGTCCTGAAGAAAAAAAAATTACATCTTGGAATATTAAGAAGTTTTCACACCAAACACGGACGGCAAAAACAAATAATCTAACGTTTGCTGTGTGCCACCGTCTGATGTAAATTTATAAAAAAAATTTTTTTATCACAGTTGTTGAGCAAAGACCAAAAATCTCAAAATGTCAAGCCGCCGGCAACAAACAGCACTATTGTCAAAGTTGTAATAGACATGTGTTTTTTAATTATCAGCAAAGTTATTTTCGTAATAGCTTGGGGAAAAGGGACGATGCTGAGAGGAGGGGATTCGAGAGTGAAGCAGTGCAAGTGACGTGTGTTGCACAAAGATAAGTGTTTTGACCTACAGTGCAGTGAGTAAGTGGGTGAGTGAGTGTGTGTAAGTGGGTGAGTGAGTGGGTGAGTGGGTGAGTGAGTGTGTAAGTGAGTGTGTAAGTGAGTGTGTGAGTGAGTGGGTGAGTGGATGAGTGAGTGGGTGAGTGAGTGGGTGAGTGTGTAAGTGAGTGGGTGAGTGAGTGAGTAGGTGAGTGAGTGTGTAAGTGGGTGAGTGTGTAAGTGGGTGAGTGTGTGGGTGAGTGGATGTGTGAGTGAGTGAGTGTGTAAGTGATTGTGTGAGTGAGTGTGTGAGTGAGTGTATAAGTGGGTGAGTGTGTGGGTGAGTGGATGTGTGAGTGAGTGTGTAAGTAAGTGGGTGAATGTGTGGGTGAGTGTGTGAGTGTGTGAGTGAGTGTGTAAGTAAGTGGGTTAGTGTGTGTGTAAGTAAGTAAGTGGGTGAGTGTGGGTGAGTGTGTGAGTGAGTGTGTAAGTGGGTGAGTGTGTGGGTGAGTGGCTGTGAGTGTATTGTTGCGACCTGCAGTGTGGTAGTGAATGAACATATACTGTGGACGAGACGAAACAGTCGGTGTCTACTAGACCGAGTCCTCAACATTGGTGGATGAATCAATGAGCAGAGTTCGTGGGGACATTAACCACGGTAGTACCAATAATAAGAGTGAAACGACTAACCACCAGTGAGTGAGTGACTGGCTGGAGTGAATCAATGAGTGCTGGATCATCAGTTATTTTGATTGCTTTATGGTGACTTCTGTCAAGCACAGTGAGGTAGGAACTGGGTGCTCCATCCCCAGATATGATAGCAGCAGGATTTTAACTTTGACTGAAAATGTGTTTTGTCCGTTTATTCATAATTTGAATTATCTGCTGCAAACAGAAATCTGCTGCTGCGGATTCTCTGAGCAAGTAGCAGAATTCCTGGGATCAGCTGCCATTGGTGTGGTTGTTAAAGAAATTTGTTATTGTTGGCAGTAAATGTTTGTAGAAAAAAAAAGTGCGTGTCCGCAAACCATCGCCGGGGCGTTAAGATTTTAACGTAAAACTTGTGGCAGTTTTTGTCATGGAGAAAAACTAAAAAAAATGCAAAACGGCAGATGTGATTCGAAAAAAATCCACGGCGCCAAATTAAAATGTGCGGGAGGGCTCACTATTCATGAAGGGCATGTTTATAGGGGGGCGGTGGAGGCGGATTGATTTTAATATATTTTCTTCTTTCGTGTTTTTGTTTCGCAAAAAAATGTAAATACTAAGCACCGCGGCCAAAAAAGGCGATGCCGGGAGAGCGTCCAAGGCTTTAACATTTAGCACCAAAACCGCCCGGTAGCCTACCCCCCTTCCTCCCTGCCCACCCACTCCCCCACTGCCTGCCGGCGGTGCTAGGAAAGGCGACCCGGACCCTCAAATGGATTAGCGCGCCCGCCCAGTCGCCCGCTTGCGCGTGCGTGCGTGCGTGCGTGCGTGTGTGTGTGTGCGTGTGTGTGTGTGTGTGCGTGTGTGCGTGTGCGTTTCGCGACCCTTCCAGTCATCACTGATCATTATGTCGGCGCTTTGCCGCTTGCTGCTCACACGCGCACCCACCGACAACAACGCCACCACGGTTAAAATACGACTCGGAGGCCAATCAAGTAATGTTGCATTAGAGTCTCGTGTGGCCGGCACTGGGTCCCGGATCCTACACTTGGCGTGCACACATAAAAGTGCACTCCGGGTATAAGGGGCCGCCCCATAAATGAGAGCCATCCTGCAGTAATGGGTCGTTTAGTTGGAGGGTATAATATTTCAAAGGGAGTTGTGCGGGGTGCGTGCCTGAGTTGTGGGTGCGTGCGTGTGTCATCTGTGCGCGTTCGTGTGCGCGTGCGTGTGTGTATGTGCATACCTGTGCACGTGCACGTGTTTCCACGTGTTTGCGTGTGCACGTGTGTGAGTGTGTGCACGTGTGTGAGTGTGTGCGCGTGTGTGTTAGTGTGTGCGCGCGTGTGGGGAGCAGTGGCACGGTGGTTCGATTCCCGCTCACCACCAATAACAGTGGTGAATATTTGAACCGGGCCTTGGCTTCCCCTAGTTCGACTGAGCCTTAAATGTGTAACTGGTACAGTGTGTAAACGTCATCACTGGGGAGACAAAGGCGACCGGGCGTGGTGCTGGCCACTCATCTCCTCGGGCTAACAAAACTTGCGCCAAAAGTCCATTGAGGCTATTGGGGGTCTTTGTCTTTGCATATGTACATGTGTTTTGTATTTGCCCATGCATGTGTGCATGTGGTTGTGTCTGAACTTGTGTATACACTTGTACATGGTTATGCATCTCTGGGTATGAGTGTCTGTGGGTATGTGTGGGTGTGTGTTTGTGCCTCTGTCTTTTTGCAGGTATGTGTGCTTGCGTGTGTGCCCATGTGTAATGTGTACGATTCAGAGGTGAGCAGGTGCTAGGCATTGCTAAGTGCCCGCGAACAGCTCTTGCCCCAATAGTCAGCTAGAGGCTACATGGGGAATCTTTGTCTTTGTGTGATACAGAGCCACTGAGCCCCATGATGGAGGGAGAGAGAAGCGGACAGGGGGAGAACGAGAGAGTGGCTCAACAAGGTGAGTTCATTATTGTTGGCGCCGCGGTGGCGAGATGTTAACTCCCTTGCCTGGTACAGGAGGTTATAGGTTTGATCCCGACCCTGATGTCTGTATATTTGGAGTTAGCATGTTCTCCTCGTGGTCGCGTTGATTTTTCTCCGGGTCCTCTGGTTTTCCCCTCAATATTTAGAAACATGCATTTCGAATATCTGGTTTGCTATACTCTAAATGTCCACGTGATAGGCCACTTTGTTGAGCTTTCATTTATGGCCAGGTCGCTTCTGCAAAATAGTTGTATCACTCAATGGGTCTTACCCGGTAAAATATTTTTTTTTAGTTTAATCATGGCCAATTGTCTCAGGGGGTTCAAAACGGCCGTGTCCGAGCATTGTAATGGCGTCGCTGAGATCCTGGGTTTAAATGCAGGTTTTGGACACTCGCGATGATGTCCACCTTCTCCGGTTCCAGGTGTGACAGTTGATGGTCGTGGCCAAGTCACCAAGTCACCAGCGACTGCACAAAAAAATGCCAATCGTTACATTTGGTGTTGCACTTAATTCGGCGAATATTTACACCTGCTGCAGCAATTTGAAGCATCGGTTTGACCATCACGTGACAAACAACCGCGATGCTTTTATTGAGTGGGGAAAATCGTTTCACAAAGCACGAACAAAGTGGGTAATTTTTTTATTTAAAGCTTTCGTGACTGCAGGGATTCATTATTCTTGGTTCTTTCGGTAAAGTCACCACGTAGAAGGGAAACAATACTTTACCGAAAGAACCAAGAATATAAAGTGGGTAATATCTGTAATCGTTATCTCATACTTTGCCGTGAAATATATTTAAAAAAACATGGAACGAGTGATGATAATAATTAGTTGCTAAACAGACGATACGATTTATTGTGCACCCTTACGTATGTTGAACGTCTTTCGCACCATACGTAGCCAACAATGTTAATCGGAGGTGCGGAGGAAGGACAACAAACTAAAAAAAAACAGTTCTAAAGAAGTGAGTTTTCAATCTAGATGATTGAAAAGTGCATATCTCCAGTGGCTTCCTAATATCGGAAGGAAGAGCATTCCAGACGGCCACAGAAGCGCATATGAAAGCTCGCGATGCAGTGACCGTCTTTGTGCGATGGCTAGACAAGGACGTATATAATAGGACATGTATCGCATTATCGTCGCATCGTGGAAGTGGTGCTTAATTTCAGCTAGAACTGTCTGGAACCCCGTTCCGGGGATTGATTTGGCACCCTGCCACATCTGTCTCTAATTATTTTCTCCTAACTCACTTATAAACCTGCTTATACGATTATAGGAATATCCCGTACAATAATGTAAAACTATTATAATTACGGAGAAACCTAGCTTGTACTCGAGTGGTTCTGCCTTATGCCGATAATCCCGACTCCAAGCCAGGCTAGCAGGAGCGTTCTGGAAAACACCGCGGTGAGGAATTGAGCCGTGTGCGTGAGATGTTGAGGTTGGGCCCCCAACCTCAACATTTCGCCGTTCCCTGGGATCACTGTTTCGTGAATTATGCGGAGCTTCTCTGGGAATGTTCAGGAAGTTAGGCAGGGCAGTCTTGTGGGGGTGGGGGGGGTTTGTAGGGGTGGAATTATTGAGGAGGCGACCAGTGAAGGAATGTGGGAATGTGTGGGAACCCATGGCATGATGCATTAATTAACCAAGGAGACCCCACGACTCACAAACACCGCCCCGTAAATCCGCATTCCCGCAGCCGTCCAGTGATCCACCACCCACCACTTGAGTTTGTGATAAGACAATGAAGTTTAATTAAGAAAGCACTCGTCTTATATTTATGCGAAGACAAAGACCCCCCCCCCATCACCCTGTGTGGGGTGCATGGCTCTTGGGGCAGGTGATATCAGCGAAGTGGTCTGGCTAGTACCCCGTCCGAGTGCTGATGTTTACACACCGCACTAGGTACTCACTTTTAAGGCCTAGTTGACCTCGGAGAGGCCAAGGACCGCTTGAGATATTCTTCACCGATGTTGGCCATGAGCTGAAATGGAACTCGGGTCGCCGGGTTTGTAGAGCAGTGCGTTAACCACTATACCACCACTCCCCATTTAACACACAAATATACACACAGTCTTATGCACTTTAATTCAAAGTGTAAATGAATAAAAATAGGTGTGACAAATCCGGAATCTACAGGGTAGTTCCAGACGATCCTCCGACGTGTGTTGTGGTTGTAGTCCCGCATGTAGTTTGGTCACGATTGTCCGACGCTGCGCCCAACACGCCGTGCCGAGCAATACGCAGAGCAAGAATGACAACAACGCAACAACCCGAGTACACATTGGAGAGCTCTACCTCCGATTTCCTTCCCGCCGCACCTCCGATTGGCACAGTTGGCTACGTGCGGTGCACAAGAAGTTCAACGTACACACACAGACACACAGCGGCAGTGTGACCGCAAACACCCACGCAGAAGTTGGGAGTTTCAGATTCTCGAGTTAAATCCAGCCGCGACTTGTCTCTGCTAACTTGGTGATGGTGCTGCTTCCGCCACTGCGTTTACAATGCTGCACACGCACAATTAACAACAACAACTCAACACGCTCGTCATAAACAACACTGCGTGGTCTTAAAATATATATAATAGGCGACGTTCGGGGCAGTGGCCCATCTCACAAGCATATAACATTTTATGAAGAAGGGCGATTGCCCAATAGGCCACCTATTTTATATATTTCTTATTTTAAGGCCACCGCTATTTTTGATGAATGAGTTGAGTTTTTTTTGTATAATTCCCTGAGTTAATATCTGCTTACAGAGACACCGATCACGTCACATCCCCCCCACCTTACACTACCACCTGTACTGCGTGTTATTCGAACGCTATGCTACTCGTGTTTTGTAATTAATCGCTGTCCCCGTTTAAGCCTGGCCATGTAAACCCCACTCAAACAGTACTCGCATAAATGGTGCGCCACATGAATCAATGACGCTGCTCGAAAGAGGAATATCTATGCACAGTAAAACCTTGGATTGCGAGTAACTTGGTCTGCGAGTGTTTTGCAAGACGAGCAATTTTTTGTTTAAATAAATGTTAATTTAATAAACGAGCGAGGTCTTGCTATACGAGTAGTACGTATACGCTTTGTCTGCTGAGCATCACGTGATCACAACTGATATACGTGCGCTTTGATATACGAGTGCTTTGGATTACAAACACGTTTCCGGAACGAATTATGCTCGCAATCCAGGGTTTTACTGTATATGTAAGTCGTCATTTCATACAATGCCTCTACTTGATAGCAGAGAGAAAAGTTAAATAGCGGCGATGGTTACAAAACCGTCGCTGGGACGGTCAAGCGGCTGGAAGCGGTGATTGTGGGGGTGCTGGCGTTAACAATCCTTAAAATCCTCGTGCGATGATAGACACATAGATGCATAGAGATGTATTGCGAGGAGAGACACGTGGACAAAAGATAGAGCTGTATTGCGATAAGAGGAGAGATACAGATGAGACAGAATGATAGTGAAATGAGGGATGCCGACAAGAGACGGATGCAGTGAGACGGGACAAGGGAGCTGCAGACAAGATTGAGACGAGAGATTAATTGTCTTGGTATGATCTTGATTTTGAAGCTTTCGTGACTGCAGGAATCCATACTCTTTGGTTCTTTCGGTAGAGTCACGTAGTAGGTAGAAAATAAATTACATCACGACGTTTCGGGCGCAACACAAGCATTCGTCATCAGGTGGCGGACACTTGTGTTGCACCCGAAACGTCGTGGTTTATTTTCTTTTAAGCCTACCACGTGACTTTACCTAAAGAACCAAAGAATTGGCCTTGGTATGTTTATGTTATATTCATGTGTCCGTTTTATATTCATTTGTATCTCCGTTCGAGCTGATATTTGGTGCATCTACATATTTTTTTTTGTTCCAGGAATCCACAGTGCCCCTCGAGTCGCTTGGGGGCCCTGCGCTTTTTACTTTTTCCCTGCTTACGCCTCACGCCGCCCAGTGGGCTGGGCGGCTGGAACGGCCTCAAGAGTTAAGCGGCATAGGAAATAATACGGATAAATAACGGACTTATTCAACCTCCCCCATCACCCCACTACCACCCACCCACCCACTGCCACTACGGGCGGTACCCCCCCCCCCCTCCCCGATAGCCCCCCCTGTAAACAGGTGGGCTCATTGTCCCGCCTCATTAAGCCACTTGATTGTTTTATGTCGCTAATCGGGCCACACCTGGGGCCCCACAATCTGTCCGCTTCCACCAAAGACGGCTTGTCATTCAGAGTTTCGTGGGGGTGGCGGTGTCTGCTCTGCACGGTGATCTCTAGCCGGGGATCCCCGGGTTCTTGATTCGGCGATTCGGCGGACGGGCGCGTGGGTCTACAACTCTTGCTTTACGTACGGCTGTTCCCCTTCAGGGGCACCACGGTGGCAAGATATTTTCTCCCTTGTCTGGTATGGAGGAAGTTGTGGGTTCCATCCTATCCCTGACGATGCCTGTATATTTGGAGTTTGCATGTTCTCCCCGTGGTCGTGTGGATTTTTCTCCGGGTCCTCTGTTTTTTTTTTCAGTACATATTTAGCAACATGCATTTAGATGATTTTGCTGCGATTTATTTCCACGTGATAAGCCACTTCATTGGGCTATCATTTCTGGCCAGGTCGTTTCTGAAAAAGAGCTATATAGCTCAGTGGGGCCTTACCTGGTAAAATAAAAAGTTTGAGTTAAATCCACAAGCTCTATCCAGCCCTGCTTAGCACAAACCACGGTAAAGGTCAAGCCCTGCAATGTCTTGCTCATGCCACTGCTGGTGCAATGGGACCTAAAGAGAGCTCTACACAGCCGCTTCCAGAGGGGTATTTGGCCTACTCTTCTTTTTCTTTCCCTGCTGGCCAGACGTCTTGGATTAGACGGGGGGGGGGGGGGGTTCCCCGCAATTTTACCCCAGCGGGTGCACCACCCTGCCGACTAAACTACCACCACGCCCGTTAGCGTTGCTGGGCAGACGCGGG